CAAAAAGCCACAATAGGTGGTTCTCAAGCCACATATAGGCTACAGGTATACAATTCCTCTCCAGTATGTATGTATGTACTGGTATGTATGTATGTATGTATGTATGTATGTATGTATGTATGTATGCATATTTCTAACATTTTAAAACAATAAAAACAAAAGCCATTAACACACTAAAAAACATTAAAATGACTAATTCGAATACATCCAAATAAGACATCTAGCCCATCAACAATATAGCCAGGAGATGGGGCCCTTGGTGCATGTAGCGCCCCAGATGGGGGAGGCCTTTAAAGGTCTTTAAAGCTTTATGGAAGGCTAACAGGGTTGGGGCCATTTAATCTCCCAAGGCAGGATGTTCCATAGACCAGGGGCTGTTGAAGAAAAAGTTGGTCTTATAGTCCGCAAGCCCTGGGTTGCAACCTACTACTGGGCCTTGGCCCATTTAGAACTGGACTGTGCAAGCAGCGGGTGAGCATTCAGATGCGTGAACAGTTCCACTTATGTGAACAGAGGATGCTTTTGCAAGCAGTGGACACTCACACTGGCGCTCAGAGCTTCATTTGTGCAAGCAGTGGGGTGTGTGCCTGTCATTTGTACATGCACCTGCCACTTTGAGAGAACCATCCCCTTCCTCCCCAGGCTGCGAAACAGTAGTAGATTTCACTTACCTCTGCTACCGGTTTGGAACTGTGAGTGTGCGTGCTCATGTGCTAGCTTCACTCTCACGCATGCGCAGGGTGTCCGTGATGATGTCCAGGTGGAGCCTTCCACTGCCACCACTACCGGTTTGCCTGAACCGGGGCGAATGGGTAGAAACTCACCACTGTTGCCAAACCAGAAAGGTTAGGGACCACTGTTCTAGTCCCCATCAGCCAACATTCTATCCCCTTGCCCCTTTCTCCAAGATAGCCATCTCCATACTGCTGTTTAAAGTAAAATGTTGCAAGGTAGTTGGTCTGAGGTAGATGGTTGGAATACATACATTACATAGGTACATTTGGAATATTGATTCCATGGTTTTTGTTAAATATGTAGAGATGTAGGATGATGAATGCAAAGTACATTGGCCATTTTAAACAATATTTAGGATATTGGGCTTGCTGTCATAGCTTCCTCTGTCTGATCTCAAGGGATAAGAAACAGTGATTCAAAGTGATCAATCATGTTATCAAAAAATAAGATCTTAAATTTATATCAATAGTTACCCAAGAGGCAATAGAAAAACAAAAGAAAACTGGAGAACCATATAATACATACACTAAAGAATACATACATATTTCATATTTCTCTCTTTATATTTCTCTACATGTATTTGAAACCAATATGTTTAATTCATTTATGCATTTGTTAAGCATAATATATAGGGACATGGTGGCCTAGTGTCTAAGACGCTGAGCTTGTCGATCAAAAGGTCGGCAGTTCAGCAGTTCAAATCCCTAGTGCTGCATAATGGGGTGTGCTCCCGTTACTTGTCCCAGCTTCTGCCAAGCTAGCAGTTTGAAAGCACATAAAAATGCAAGTAGAAAAATAGAAACCACCTTTGGTGGGAAGGTAACAGCATTTCATGCGCCTTTGATGTTTAATCATGCTGACCACAAGACCATGGAGATGTTTTTGGACAGTGGTGGCTCTTTGGCTTTGAAACTGAGATGAGCACCACCCCCTAGAGTCGGGAACAACTAGCACATATGTGTGAGGAGAACCTTTACCTTTACCTTAAGAGTAATATCCTCCTCTTCCTTCAGGAACACAAATTCCAGTTTTCCCCATATAGGTGGTCCTTGACATGCAACTTTTTAATGATTGTTAAAAGTTCTGACGGTCCCCCAAAAGGTACTTATGACCCAGTTCCAAAGTTCCAACAGCCAGAACAGCTCCTGTGGTAACATGACTGCATTTTAGACTCGTGACAATTGACTTGCATTTATTGGTTGTTTGCAGTCTCCCATGGTCATGTGACTGTAATTTATAATGCTTTTGCCGAAAACAGACATTTACTTTTAGTATTCAGCAAAACATCCAACAGTGTACAATGGATTTCCTTAACCACCATAGTGTTCACTTAATGACCATGGTTTTGCTAAATTATTGCAGTGATTCACTTAATGACCACCGCAAAAGGTGTTGTAAAATTGGGTCAGTCACTGGGTGACCCACTTTATGACCATCGTGACTTACAACAATAAGGGGAAGCACTATTACTATCATAAGTGAGGACAACTTGTATCAACAATCCTGAAAGTATTATTGAGAGGAGACCTGAACTTGGATCTCCCTAGTCCCATAATGGCAAACCTATGGCACACGTGCTGGAAGTGGCACTCCGAGCCATCTCTCTGGGCACTCCAGCCATCACCCATTGCTCTTCCAGGTTCCAGCGTGCAGCTAGTCTTCGCACATGCATGTGCCCCAGAAACCAAAAGTTCAGCTTCCTGGCATGCGCATGCGCACCGGGGAGCTGCTCTTCCAGTTTCCGGTGCTCCCCCGTGCACACGTGCGCTCCCATTTCAGCACTCAGTGCCGAAAAGGTTCGCCAACACACTGCCCTAGTCCAAGGGTGCAGTTGGACTGACACAATAGGGTTTCTGATTATTGTCCTTTGTGTTACCTATTTTTTTCGAAAGAAATATACTTAGGGTAGTTCATTCTGGAAAAGCTGTATGACAATGTTAGCATTTTCTGCAAGCATATATTTCCATTTTCTTCTGTACTTTCAAAATAAGACTTTTAGAATTGATCGGTACAGCTTTTCCAAATGGAATATTTTTGCAGGCTTCCCATCCAATTCAGCCAATTAAATCTATCATTTTAATGCAAATAAACATTCTTGGGAAGAAACTATATAAAACTGTTATTACCAGGGGTGAAATGCTCCTGGTTCGGACCGGGTCAGGTGATCTGGTAGCGATTGTGGCAGGTGGTTCGGAGAACCGGTAGCGATGGCGTGAGGCTCCGCCCACCCGCCCGGGTGTCGTTACTTCCTGCTTTTAAAAGTAAATAAAAAGGCTCTGACAATCACAGCTGTGGCACGTGATCGTCAGAGCCTTTTTAAAAAAACTTTTAAAAGCATTTTTTTACAACCTACTCAGGTGAATAGGTTGTAAATATGTGCTTTTAAAAGATAAAAGATGATGTGATCACGCATCATAGCTGTGATTGTTTGCCCAAATAGATTGTAAAAAAATGCTTTAAAAAAGTAAAAAAAAAAAAGTTGGCCATGCTCACCCAGTCATATTACCCCACCACCAAGCCATGCCCACAGAACCAGTAGTAACAAATTTTACATTTCACCACTGGTTATTACCCACTCTCTATCATAATATAAATTCATCACAAAACAATATTTATTTATTTATTTATTTATTTATTTATTTATTTATTTATTTATTTATTTATTATATTTCTATACTGCCTTTCTCCCATAGGACTCAAGGCGGTGTACAGTCAAGAAAAATATAGACACACAAACATAAAATTGCTAATTAAAATTATTACTTAGTTTGGTCAATTAAATAAAACCCAGAATTAGATAACATTTAAAAAATCATTCACATGTTCGTATGTTTAGCCCTGCCTGTTGGAACATCAGGGTCTTGAGGGCACGGCGGAAAGCACGGAGATCAGGGATATTCCGTATCTCCAGGGGCAGTTCATTCCAAAGGGTTGGAGCCCCCACAGAGAAGGCCCTTCCCCTGGGAGTCGCCAGTCGACATAATTTGACTGACGGTACCCTGAGTAGTCCCTCCCTGTGAGAACGAACTGGTCGGTGGGAGGCTATTGGTGGCAAAAGACGGTCTCGTAGGTACCCAGGTCCTAAGCCATGGAGCGCTTTAAAGGTGATAACTAACACCTTGAATCGCACCCGGAAGACCACTGGGAGCCAGTGCAGCTCGCGTAGGAGAGGTGTTACATGGGCATAACGAGCTGCGCCCATAATCACCCGTGCGGCTACGTTCTGGACCAATTGGAGCCTCCGGGTACTTTTCAAGGGGAACCCCATGTAGAGAGCATTACAGTAGTCCATACGGGAGGTAACTAGGGCATGAGTGACCGTGCGCAAGGCATCCCGATCCAGAAAGGGACGCAACTGCCAGATCAGGCGAACCTGATAAAAGGCACCCCTGGCCACGGCCGTCAAATGATCTTCTAAAGATAACCATGAATCCAGGAGGACACCCAAGTTGCGGGCCCTCTCTGTGGGGAGCAAGATCTCATCCCCTATTGTCAATGATGGTACCAGCTGACTATACTGGGACACCGGAAGCCATAGCCACTCGGTCTTGGAGGGGTTGAGTCTGAGCTTGTTTCTCCCCATCCAGATCCGCACGGCCTCCAGGCAACGGGACATCACAGCAAGGGCATCATCGGGGTGGTCTGGGGTGGAGATGTATAGCTGTGTGTCATCAGCATACTGATGAACACTCACCCCAAAACCATGGATGATCTCACCTAGCGGTTTTACATAAATGTTGAACAGAAGGGGTGAGAGGACTGACCCTTGCGGCACCCCACAAATAAGGTGCCTCGAGGTCGACCTCTGCCCCCCTGCCAACACAAACTGCGAACGATCAGAGAGGAAGGAGGAGAACCACCGAAGCACGGTGCCTCCTATTCCTAACCCCTCCAGCCGGTGCAGTAAGATACCATGGTCGATGGTATCAAAAGCCGCTGAGAGATCTAATAGGACCAGGATAGAGGAGCAACCTCTATCCCGAGCCCTCCAGAGATCATCCACCAATGCGATATGTAGGATGAAAAAGGAAGTACCAAGTAAAGTTTGGGACAATTAAGACTTTGGTCCTTGAAGGATTTGGAAATCTCGCATTCAGCTTAGTAGTTGTAAGTCTTCCTTCCAAATACAGATGCTTAGGAATATACTGCTATCCTGTATCCAATTAGATTTTCATACACATCTTTGGCTGGTTTATGTTTAACATTTTTTGTTATGTGTTTTGCTTCTTCCCTCTCCCTTCTCCCCTCCCTCCTTAATTTCATAGGTCAGTCCAAGCAGGAGAATACAGCTTCCATATTATTCTACCAGACTATGTCTACATTATTCTGAGCAATTTCTGGTGCCCAACTTCCTTGAAGTCTTAACTCATGAAGGTGTTCTAATTACTGCATCATGCCATGACACATTTTCAAAACAAGTTGAGCAAGACAAAATATGCAACGCAGAAGCACATAGGTGGAGTTTGCCTCTTGCTTTTTTGGTGTCAGTATGTCATCCTCCACAGCTTCCTCGTGTATTAGATTCTGTTTCCCTATTTTTCTCATGCATGAGATTTATTGATTTATTGATTGTTAGATTTAATTGCCACCTATCTCACTGTGGATCTACTCTGGGTGACTTACAACAATAAAATAGGGGGGGAAAGGTAAAAATAATGTAAAAATAAGAATAGTAAAGGAATGAAACAAATAAAAAAACCAGTGGAAGTATAGTAGTTTGACATTTAAAAAGATGAGAGGGAGCTGGAAGCACAGGGGGAAGGAGGGGACAGCATGTTAGTCTAGCAACCATCTCCAATGATGTACTTCATGATTAAGTTCCCAGGCCAACCAGCAAAGCCAAGTCTTCAGGCCCTTGTGGAAAGATAGGAGGGTGGGGACAAAACTCACCTTGGCGGGGGCAGGATCTTCCATTGGGCTATTGCCACAGCAGAGAAGGCCCTTCTCCTGGATCCCATCAGTCACAGTTCCTTGACCAACAATATCTTCAGCAGCCCCTTCTGTCGACTTGAGTAGGAATCTAGATTTAGTTAGAACTAAATATTTAAGCTGCAAAAGTAGGATATAATAATTTAACATTTCTGATTGTTTCAAAAATGCAAGGTAAAGAGATTCTGGGGAAAGACAGAATGATACAATTAGAACATTGACAGCTAAATCTTTAGCAGTACATAGGATTTGGAACAAGAAGCTACATCCTGGTTTCACCAGGCTAAGATAACCAACAATATAGCTCCCCCAATCATGGGCATTTGGTGTGTGAGTACAAATGTCAACATGTGCACAATCATTTAGTCGCACAAATGCCATGGCTTACATACTTGCATTAGCAATCACGACAAAAGTACACAATCATGGTATTTCTGTGTATCATTGTGGCCCTATGACTGTTTATTGCAGATACCACTGGCCCCAATATAAACATTGTGAATATGGAAATAATTGTTCTGATTATAGTAGCAAAATATTTTGACTCAAATCAGACATTATTTGTTGTTAGCTGCTGTATAAACTTCCTCAGGTGGTTATAGAATATCCAAAATGCCAGTCACAAATGCAAGGAGCTGCATGTAAACAAGTACAAGACTAAAATATATTGTTGCCATGGTTCAGTTTATCATTGATCCATCTTATTAATTAGTTAATAACTTACTATAAGATTGAAATCTTTCATGAAGTACCCATTCATGAAAAAGTATTTATCAGAAGAATTATACCTTTTTTATTTATTTATGCATTTGTTTAATATGTGCTTATGCTATCCTTTCCTTACAATGGACTTAATTAGAGTTTGGATTAGCCGGAATTGTGTTTGCAAAGAAATGCCTTAATCACATGGACAAATGACTTAAAATATTTTACTCTAAAATCCTATATACTTGAGCAGCCAACAGCCCTCCTAAAACAATATGTGTTCAGAATCTGTACTAAAATCAAACTGAATTGCAATTTTTAATAATTCAAAAAATAATAATTAAAACATGGAAAGTATTAAATTAATTCAAATCAAATTTAAGTTTTGTTCTGAGTCTGCTGATCTCCTAGACCCAAAAATGTTACTTGCAACAAAGAAGAACCAGTGTCTGGAGATTTGACAAGAAAAGTATATGATGTAAATTGCTGTTCTTTCTTCTCTACCCTTATTGGCACCAGGGATTCTAATTTATAGTGAACTTAATGAATCTACTGATCTTAGAGACACTTCTTAAGTATGCAGTTAATACAAGGATAAATTGCATAATACTCCTGAGCACCCAAAGAGAATTGTCCTTGATACTCTTCAAGTGATAAAAGGCAGATCAGAGGCAAAGTCAGGAGCAGCAGATCTCAATTCAGACCAAACCTTCTTATTACAATGTATAAGTTTGAACCATTCTTCCTGATTAAAAACAAACATCTCTTATTTGGACAGTTGGACTCAAGGCAGGAGAAAATAATGTAAAATTTGAATCTTGCATTTGCTGTATGCATACGCCATGAATCTCAACCTTTTTTAAAAAATTATTGTAATTTTTTAGAAAACAAATGCACAGAAAATCTACAAGAACAAACGAACAAGAACAGTAATATCCAACAAAGTTCACAATTTCATTATCAAAACAAATACAATTCAATTCAATTAACAAATAGAAAATTACACATTGAATTAAAATAAATCACACACCCACAGTCACACTTATATTCATTTAACAACAGAGTATCTATCATACTGTGTATTCCATTTGTCTATTCTTGTAAATTATTTTGAAATCTGAAAATAGAAACATACTATGTCATTTTTTAATCAATAGGAAATATAATTTTACAAATTAACATTTTTTAAATCTATTATTTGATACCAGGTGCATTAGTACTTTTCAATATAATTCTCTTGTCTTGGCTATTTCCCATACTCAGTATAATCAATATTTTTTAGAGATGGCCAGTTTCTGTAATTTTGTAATATAATTCAAGACAACGTTGGCACCTTTAACTTAAAAACAAATCTTTTTGTTTTAATATTCTTCCAAAAAAGAAACAAATGGACATGTTTGACTGTACCTTCATATTTCTTGCAACAGTACACAGAAAATCTAGTCTGTCCTTTATAATGAATTTTTTAATAGACTCAGAATAAAATCTTTTTATTAACTTTTAAGTCCAAAAAAGCAAACTTTGATCCATTGATGTTCCATTACTGGAACACTTTATTGCATTAAATCATAAATGCAAATTTAAAAAATAGCATCTCAAACTTAAGGCAGCTAAGGTTTACTTCAGAAAATGCTCAGGATTATTATATTGCCAATGATGTGTATTAGGCAAAGGAAATTCTATTTGTAGTTTAAAATCACTGAAATAATTACAGTAAAGTAACTATTACAGATTCTGGCCAATCTTTGCAATAAAACATCTTACAATCTGTTTTTCAAATAGATTTTCTTTACACAAATATTTGCTACACTCCGCATCAAAACTCAATCTAGATTCCAGTAAGGGCAAATTTTGAATGTGTAACTGAAGTAAGCAAGGAAATGTAAAAACCTTTTTTTGGTTACACCTTGACCCAAAAATTGCCATGAATTAACAGAGGTATATAATAAATTTCCAATAAAGCCACAAAGGTTGATATACAGTTCAATTTTCATTCTACATAAATATGGATAATAAAATAAATGTCCAATTCTTGAAAAAACTGGTAAATTAAAACCTTTTCACAGAGTTAGTTTTTCACCCTACCCAGTAGAATCCTTGTGCCTTTCTTATATTTTTCTTTTCCTAGTCTCACTATTAGCAGTCGCTGGTTTCCCTCTCCACCCACTCCCCAATCTCGCGACTTTTCTAGTATAGAAATGATTTTATCAAGAATGATATCCTTCAATCTCTCCTTGCCAGTCTTCTACTTCAAATCTCTGCCTGGTAGAATCCTAAGAGTGGCTGTTGCTCCACTTACCTTCATTATAATTTTTAAATTAAGATATTAAAAGGAATACTGAAAATTAGTGCATTAACCATTATACTTACAGAAAAACCTCTTTAGGTCCTGTATGAGCCCTATAAATGCTGTTCAGTTGAAATCCATTACTCTATTTGTCCATATCCTAATTCACAGGAAAAAAATTGGCTAGTCATGAATAATATTTTTAATAACTAATTTGTTTTAAACATTTAATAAAATTATTGGTAAAATGTAAGAAACTACGATAGTAAAATCCACTCATAATATAGAAACCCTTGTATATGATGTAATGTAAAATACTTACTAAACTTTAAATCAAGCATGAAAATGACTAACCATGATCAAAGCAATATAAATTGCAAAGTGAAATGGTGCGAAACTATAAGTTTGTCCGTATCACCAAAACACTGTACTTATTTGAAAATCCTGAAGGGTTGATATATAAACTTTATACATCAATTTGAGAAACACAAATTGTATTGTGCATTACTCAGGGGTTGATTCTAAATTTTTTTACTACTGGTTCTGTGGGCGTGGCTTGGAGGTCATGTGACTAGGTGGGCGTGGCTAGCTGGTCAGAGTCATTTCTGGAAGGTCCTCGCACTTACAACCAGTCCTTGCACTTACAACCCGACTCATTTGTTTGCTTTTAACACTGATCAGCTGTAGGACGGCCCTTTGAAGCCCCGCGGCAAGAGTTTAAACAGTTTTTTTCCCTCTAGTCATCAGCTGGGACTCAGGAGGCAGCAATAGATTGTGGGTGGGACCAAATAAAAGGTAATAATGTGGGGGAGTGGGAGGGCGGGGGGAAAACCGGTTCGGTGACATCATATCGTCACCGCTACCGGCTCGACCGAACCGGACCGAACCGGGAGGAACCCACCACTGGCATTACTGCAGTCAAGACAACTTCAACAGTTGGCATTTTGGTAAATAGTTGTGGTTGTTTTTTTCCAATAATTTTTTTTTATTTTCAAAAACACAAACAAAACAAAACCTAAAAACATTATCATTCCATACAATTATAGACAGTGTATCAGTCGGTGGCATTTTTGTGCTTCTCTTCTCTTCAATTTATCATTAAACATGCTAGCTTATTTCCAAAAGTTTTAACATCCATTTATATCATAATTATTTCCAATTCTTAAATTAGAATAGTTGTTTTGTGATTGACCGAACCCATAGGGCAGCCATTTTGTAAGCTCAGCATGGCCATTTCAAATACGCTCTTCCATTTGTAAATATATTCACAAGTTCCCTAAAGCGGACTGTCTCTGAAAAATGAAATGTGTACTAGGCCATCATGCCATACGGCCAGCTGTTTCTGAAAATGAAAGGAGTTTCAAAAATAGATCAATGAATGTTAGTAAGTTGCACTACAGAGAAAAAAAACAAATAAAAAATAACTTATTATCTCTTACTCATTTACAGATGCTTATTTAATATTGTATGTTGCATAATAGTGATATTGAAAATAAGGTTAGGTGAAAAAGGAAAACAAAAACACACCTAACTAAGCTATATTAAAACCAGCTGGGTGACAATATGCTTACTACTGCCCCATGTTGAAACTGGGTGGATGGTTTATAGTTGTTCACAA